TGGAGACTGGGGGACAGAGAGACAGGACAGACAGACTGGCACAGAGGGGGTGGCCAGACAGACAGAAGCCGAGGGAGTGCAATGGAAAGGGCATTGGGTGGAGCAGGCTGAGGAGGGGGCACTTTACTTCAGTGGGGAGGGGGTGCGCCTGGGGGTCCCAGCCAGGCCCAGCACTGTGGGCAGCTGGGCTAGGAGAGGGCAAAGGTGGGCAGGGTTTTCACTGACTTCTGGGCATTGCTTTGGCAGGATTCGTTGCCATGAAGAGCTGGTTGATCCTGGTGTGGTTGGTGATCTTCGCAGGCGTGAGTCCATCCTCCGTGCTGGGGGAGCCTTGTCCTTGCTGGGGAGTGGGGAGTTTAACCCATTGAGTGCTGGAGATGAATGCTCCAAGGACCCTAGGGCTGGAGATACAGAGGTGCTGATACAGGGGACAAGCACTGATGTCAGTGATATCAGTGGCAGCTGTGGGTGACCCACAGCCCTGAAAGTCAGCTCCCGAGTGGGGAGTCAGTGCCTCTTGAGTGGGCAGAGCTGGGCTTCCAAACAGAGGAAGTAGCCAGAACTAGGGACTGATCTGAATCTCGGATCCGCTGGCCTGGTGCCACCACATGCCCACATGCACCTGCTTTGCCCAGGGCATGGGGTAGGGCTCAGGCCCAAGAAGCCCATAGCAGAGCCTGGCCCAGCTCCATTGCCTTAAATCCCACTCTTCAGACTATAGGGCCAGAGCCAGTGGGCACAGCATAGCATGCTGGGTCTTTGCCCAACTCTGCCCCAATCCTGGCACAGACTGGAGCAGCCTGGGGGTTGCTCTGAGCTATGCCAACTGGTAAGTGCCCATTTGGGGATGGGCAGCACTCTGGATGTAGAGGATGTTTGGTTTATTAACCCTGCAAAACAATTGGCAAAAACAACCATTTTCTTTCATTTTTGCCTATATTTTTTCTGCAAAACCTTTTGGGGTTTTATTAACAAACAAAAAAAAGGGGGGGGGGAATAAATTCCATGTTTGGCCACCAAAACTAGACCATGTTCCCAAAATTTGGGGGTTTAAGGCACTGGAACCCCCAAATTTTCACCTGCCTGGGCAAACATTTGGGGGTTTATTGAAAGTTTTCCACCTGAGATGTTACTTGTTTTCATTGCTGAAAACTGTAACGTTTTCTGACATTTCATTTATTTAACCAAAACCTAAAACTGGAAAAAATGATGGTTTTTGGTGACTGAAAATGTTTTGATTTCTGACAACTGGAAAGCAAAAAACTTTAGCTAGTTGGACAGAAATATTTGCTTTCACTGAACACTTTCCCCTAAGTCCTGACATTTTTCAGTTTTGGGTGGCTGAAAACTGAAAAATTGGGTTTTTAACCACCCCCTGTCATCCAAAAATGGAGCTTTCCCCCCATCAGAAATGCCATTTTGATTAAAAAGCCATTT